TACAAGGCTCAACAGACATTCAAAAATGAGCCGAGTAGAAGCCCAAAGCATGACTAGTAGGGAGCTAAGTCCGGCCGAACAAGAGAACAAAACGGGCCGTAAATTGTAGTCTACATAGTATTCATAAACTAGAAGAAGGCTGCAAAGAAGCTCAAAGAGCTGAAACAAGTCCACCACCGTAGACCCAAAAAAAGCTAACAAGAAAAAATCCATCGAAGGCACTAGGTAAGGCCGGTAGGAGTCAAATCATAAAAGTGTAGGATCATGAAGAACAAAATTTGAAACCTCTAAAACGCCTTATCAATAGAAGTAGGCAACAAGGCGGCATCAAATGAGCGTTTGTTGCGCTCCTCCCAAATAAGATAGACCGTGATCCCCAACGAGACCCTCCGCATCCGAGTCGCTAAATTCCTTTGCCTACAAGAGAGGCCTCGGAGAGCGCGGTGAGGGTGGACATAGTTCGCCGAATGCTAAGCCAAAAATGGATCTTATCCCAAAGAGCGAAAGTCCAAGGCAAGCGAAGAAGAGGGGTGCATGAGATTCCAGCTCCGTCCGACAAAGAGCATAGCGAGGGTCGGAGAGAACAAATGGCAAGCATTCTATAGTTTTTAGTTTACCGCGTACCATAAGCCAAAGAATGAACGAGTGGCGTGGCAAAGCCCATGTCCCGGATGCTCCGAGCCGAGCCGACGGGCGCCGCTCGGAGGCGAAGATGGTCATAAGCTAGGTGGGAGAAACCGCCCATGCCCTAGGCCTTCAAGTGGCCAATAACGAGAGTGGAGTCCCCAAACCGGCGAGCGAGAGAATCCCTTAATGAGAGGATGGATTTCCACATCGACGATGCCGTGCGATGAGCCTCTGCTTCCCAAACACAAGTATCACATAAGTAAAAATAGTGAATCCACCGAATCTAAATAGAGTCCACTTTGCGATGAATGTTCCGGAGTTGCTTAGCAAGAAAGCGAGGAGTTGAGGACTCTAAAGCCTCGTAGGCCAAGGCCTCCTTCGGCCTTGGGACGACAAAGCCGGCACCGAGCTATAAGGGCTGAGTGCTTTTGTTTACATCACCGATCCATAAGAAGTTCCCGCAAATACCGATTACGCGAGACATAACCGAAGCGGGGATTGGGAAGATACCAAGCCAAAACTAAATTAACCCAACCGAACCGATCTTAAGAGCTCGAGACGACCAAGCATAAGAGAGATGCTTCCCCGACCGAGATCGGATGGTGCCCTCTAGGCTGTGGAGCTGGAGAGAATTGACTAGCCGGTAGCCTATGTGGTCTCGGGGGAACCCCAAGGTAACGAAAGGAAAGGCACCCTCGGCGAAACCGGTAGCTTGAAGCAGAGCAAGCTTGTGGTAGTCACTAACCCCTCAAAAATAAATGAAGGATTTGGCGGGGTTGATATAGAGGCCGAGGTGCGGCTGAAATCTTGTAACACCCAAGCCAAACACGAAGCCGAGGCCTTATCGCCACAACTTAAAAGCATGACATCATCGACAAAGGCTAGGTGCGTAATACAATGAGGCTCACACTTAGGATGGAAGCAAAATGTGGCGGAACTAAAGCTTGTTAGAGCATTCGAGAAAAGTATTCCATGCACACAATGAATAAGTATGGAGAGAGGGGTCACCTTGACGAACACCGCTTGACCACGAAAAAACCCAAAGAGGTTACCATTAATTGTGATGGAGTAGGAGGGGGACTCGATGCATGATATAACCCGAGTGTATGAAAAGAGGTGGGAAGCCCATAAGTTCCAAGCAAGCGACGCAAAAAGGCTACCGAACGAGTCGAAAGCTTTCCGAAAATCAACCTTAAGAAGGCATCGGGGGAAGCGTGCTTGCGCCTATACCGACGAAGGAGTTCTTGGAGCGAGATGGATGTTATCGGTCATCCGACGACCCCCAAGAAGGCATTTTACAACGGGCTAACAATATCGAGCAAGGCCGAAGCTAAGCACGAGGAGAGAATCTTAGAGATCACCTTGTAAATAACATTGCGACAAGAAATCGGCTAAAAATCCAAGGGAGTAGGAGAATGTGTCGATTTGGGGACTAAGGTAATAACCGAGTGATTAATCTATTTTAGGAGCCGACCCGAGGGAATCGATCCATGACCGCGAGTGCAAAAATCAACCCAACAATACCCCAAGCGCGTTTAAAGAACGGCGATGTATACCCATCGGGCCTGGGGGCTTTATCATTTCCTATACCAAACAAAGTCTCCTTGATCGGGTCATCGGTGATGGGAGCAAGTAACATTTCGTAGGTCGAAGGCGGGAGACGAGGACCCATAGCAACGACCGAGGCATCAAGGGGAATAGTGTCCCGTGTAGACCCAAGCAAACTGCGAAAGTAATCAACAAAGGCAACCTCTACGGCTGACGGCAAAGAAGTAGCTTCCCTCGTGGGGCCTTGAATGGAGGCAATGAAATTTCACTTATGACGATGTCGCATAAGGGTATGAAAGAATTGACTACCCTTGTCACCCTCCTCAAGAAATTTACACTTGAGCTTTTGGCCAAAAAACATCTTCTCCGCTAATTTTAATCGAGCCAAGGCCTACCGTGAAAGATGCTCACGCTCGAGAAGGGAGGGATTGTCTAGATCGGATTGGAGGGACTGCGGAGGTTATCAAGATCAAGCTGCGGCATGAGAGACCCACTCGAAATGTGACTAAAATGAACCGAATTAAGAAGTTTCGGAGGCCGTTTTAGAGCCTTAAGCTTTTGACGGAATAGATACATAGTGGCCGCCCCGGAACAATGCCAATACTGCTCAACTATCAAGAGGAAGCTTTCATGCGAGTGCCCACATATTGAAGAACTTAAAGCATTTACGACCGGAGGAAGAAGACCGATCGAGCTGAATCAAAGCCCGAGCATGATCGGAGAAGGCTTCCGGAGGGCGAAAGTGAACCAAGAGAGGTTGCTAAAGAGTAAGCCGGTGGGGATTAGCCGAACTCGGTCAATCTTCATCCGGACATTGTCGTTAGTCTAGGTGAAGTGGCTACCCGAGTAATTGAGGTCACTAAGGCCAAGGTCCAAGCAACAAGATCGGAAGTCGAAGTCTCATAAGAAGTGACATCACCACCATTGTGTTTATCGAACTGGAGAAAGAACGAATTAAAATCAACCAAAACAAGCCAAGGCCCTTGGATTTCCCAATGATGGAGGTCTTCCCAAAGCTCCCATCTCCGAATAAGAGTGTTAAAGCCATAGAAAAGCATCACATGAAAAACCGTCCGAAGGATGAGACTTTTGAGTTGAACATGAAGCCCTTGAGCTGAGGCATCCAAAACATTCAGCTAAACCATAGCCGGATTCCAAAATAAAACAATGTGGCCATTAGTGGCAGCGAGAGGCATTAGAGGCACAACCCCAACTCTTCGGTTGAAGTCGATGCAGCTGCAAAATCTTGTGAAGACCGAGCTTCGTTTCCAAAAGAGCACAAACATCCATACGATCTTTTCTCATAAGGCCAACAACCTCATGCTCGTTTTAAGGGACTCGTTGAGGCCCCTAACATTCCAAGTGAATATGATCATAGGGCGAGGTGAAGAGGTGGAGGCCCCCTTCCCCTTCGATGAGTGCCACGACTTCTATCGTGGGTGGAAACTACTTGAACCCCAAGCTGAACCTCATTAGAAAGTTGCTTAACCACGATGACCATCGCGACCATATCCCCATCAAAATCAGCCCGATCGATAAGCCCGACCATGCGTCAGTTATGACTAACCTGTTCCACCCTCTCGTTACGGTGAGCCGATTGCTTGCCATGCTTGCACTACGAAGGAGATAGCCGGGTGGAGCCAAACAGGGGGCTCGGACCAGCAATATCGGTAGAAGCGGATAGGCCTACCCTATTGGTAAAGGCCGGAGGAGAGGCCTCGGGTTCGGGAGCCTTCGACCAAAGTAGAACGGGTTACGATTGTCGAAACGAGCCGGAAGAGAGTTGGCAACGCCGAGCATTCCGCGAGGCCTTACCTTTGGCCTTACCGGTAACTAGCACCCATTCCCTTGAACTAGCAACTACCTCGGAGCACATAGGATCGGTACGGGTAGGCGCACGGTGAGTAGGTAGATTAGCGCTCGGCACGCCAAAGGCGGACTTGCGCCTAGCGCGACGAACATCGATGGGCACCCGATGGAAAAGCGGACTTGCGCCCGGCGTAGCGACATCGATAAGCACACGGTGGGAAGGCGGACTTGCACACAGTACGAGCGGCATCGATAGGCACCGGATGGGAAGACGGACTTACGCCTAGCACGGTTGCAACGGGGTGCGTTTAGGCCTTAGACGCGCGCTTGGCGCAAGTAGTAGTTGAGTGCCCCGGAATATGGCAAAACTTGCAATGAGTAGGGAAGTTTGGTGGCGGATTTCCTCTTTTCTTGGCCATGAAGCTACGGGTAGAGAAGGAAGGAAGGAGACATGAAAAATGGGGAGAGAGAAAGAGGGATGGGGGCAGAAACGGTGGGCGGAAACGGCAAAGGATAGAACCATAGAGGGAAGATAGAGGCGAGGCAAGTTTCGGGTGGAAGAAAGGGACGTGGGGGGAAGAAGAAGGTGAATAGTAGGCGGGATGGAGGGAAACTCACTCAAGGAGGAGAGCATCTCTCTCTTCTTTCTCTTTCCACTTTGTCATTAACCGAGAGCTCTTTCTTATTGAGAGCTCTTTTTTTTATTTAAATGTAAGTGTATAAATCAAAGTAAAACCAATTTGGAAAACCCGCAAGTAACATATACAAGATTTACAAAAAAGGGAACGGGGTCCCAAAAACTTGAACTAGAGCTTTACCTAGATGGTTGCTCAAGTGATCAACCTAGGAGAGATTCCAAGAGAAACCAAACAAGTAACTAAGAGGAACCTAGCTAGGACCTTTTACAAAAAGCTCAACGAACTTACAAAACCATTGCTTGAATGAGCAAAAAGGAACAAAAGCCTAACCATGTACAAGCAATTTTTGATACAACACAATAGAGATCAACATACAACCTAAACAAGAGCGAGTTGGGCTTTCCTTGCCAAGAACGAGGCAAGGCGGCACGAGCCTACCCAAAGAGCGCGAGCTGGAACGAGAGCAAGCGGGAGCAGCGACGAAGGACCGAGCCTTAATCGGCTAAGAAGGACGGCCCAAATCGAGCTCGGCCACCGTGACTTACAACGAGAACGAGGAACGAGGCAAAGCCTCGAGCGGTCGAGACCGGGCAAATCGCAAGGAAAGGCTAGGCGACGGACGGAGGCGAGTGAGATCGGGGGAGCAATAGCCCAACCAGCCCCTATTACACCCTTACAACATAGCGAGGACGGGCCTTGCAAGAACGAGTAGCAACAACCTAAACCTCAAGACGACGGCATAGCGGGGCCGGGGCCTAGCAAGAGTAGCAGGCTATAACCTAGCATGATAGTGCGGCGGCACGAGGGTGGGGGACTAGGCGGACCGAACGACCTAGTAGGCTTGCCCGAGTGAAGCCGGCGGACGTGACCGGCGGAGGGAGTAGATAGAACCAAAGCGACCACCGGAGAGAAGGACGCGCCTAAGCTTGAGAACAAGGGGAGAGCAATAAGAGAGGCTTGACGAGTAGTGCGGAATCTAGGGGAGGCTAGAGGAGCATCAACCGAAACGGACCCTCACTACACCCGAAGTAGAACTCAAAGGCAAGCGGAGGACTCGGTTGGCGGCGGAATTTAAAGCCAAAAGGCAAGAACCACCGAAGTAGAAAGCCGACGACAGAATGATATAATTCCCCTGCAATTCTCGAGGTAAAGGGCGCCCCTCTATCTCACCCATTTTCCGGGCGAAGTTTGTAGAGCACTCGCCCATCCTAAAGAGCGCGAGCGAGGACCGGGAGGAAGCAAGATCAACGACGAAAGCCTATCCGTACCAGTCGAGAAGGTCCGCCCGAGTGGAGATAATACGGCTAGGGAGCAACTAACGGAACCCACGGATACGCACACAAAGAGCGCGACGAGATCGAGTCGGAACACAAGGAGCCTACGTCGGGAAGGCCACGAAGAGGCTAGGCGGCGGGCGAAGGGAAGGAAGATCGAGAGGAGCATCGGCCAATCGGACCCCGATTGCACCGAAACGACCTAGCGAGGGCCGGGGGCTTGCAAGAGCGACGAACGACACCCTAGTAGGCTCGCCCAAGTGAGTCCGGTAGACATGATCGGTAGAGGGAGCGGACTCAACCAAAAGCATCCTCTCGAGAGAGGAACGTAACCAAGTTAAATGACATGGGGAAAACGACGAGAGAGGTCGGCCAGCGGTGCCGAAACCAAGGGAGCCTAGAGGAGCACCAGCCGAACCGGACCCCCACTGCGCCCGAAGCATAATTCAAGGACATGGCAAAATCACTCGGCAGACATTTGAACCCAACCACCGGCCAAAGGTCATTTCACGACCGACGGAGGCCTCATGCATTAGAATATAGGCCGCAAAACCACGAAAATATGAGCACCCAAAACCCCGAATAGGCCAACATTCGAGTGATCCCACATGCAGTAGGGATGGGTCCGATTCATGGAAATAGTAAATCATGTAAAACATGATCTAAAATTTTCGAAAAACTTGATCCACCGAGTTTGATACGACTTCAAATACACGCCCATTGCGTTCTTCCCGGATCAAGTAAATGGTGAGACCGAGTCCAACTCTCCTCATTCTAGCTTCTAGATTGTTACGCCTATTGGAGAGGCCACGGAGAGCGCTATGAAGAGTTGACATACCTCCGTTAATGCACAGCACGGCATTTAATGTTCAACCGGAGGCCTGCTACCCAAACACAAGAAAAGAACAAATGGTCGTGTGATTCAAGGCTAGACCACGAGAGAAGGTAGGCTTCGCTAGAAGGGATAAGCCGAAGACGATCCTTAGTTTTTAATGCTCCTCGTGCTTGCCGACCAAAGGATAAAGGCATGCCTCGGCATGGACCAAGATTCCCAAACGAGACCGGCCTAACTCGCGGGGCTCAATTCGGGATGGAGATGAGCATAGGCTATACGGGAGAAGGTACCCCCTATAAAGTGCCAATAGCCTAGTTCACGAATAGCTACCGCTTAGGTATGATATTTACGGACAAGGAGATCTTTCAAGTCAATCACCGCTTTCCACAAAGGTGAATCGGTTCGACGGGCATCAACCTCCCAAATTGGACGATTATGCAAGTAATAATGGTGGACCCATCGGATCCGGAGGGAGTCGGATTTGAGGTGAATGTTCCATAGACGTCGGGCTAAAAAGCTTTGGTTCTTCACTTTAATGTCTAGCGAGGCCTAACCCACCTTGGTCCTTAGGGAGGTAGAGGCTTTTCCAAGCCACCGAGGTCGAAGAGCTTCTACGGGCATCCCCCATCCATAGAAAGTTACGGCATATACTAATAATACTAGTAATAACTTCGGTAGGTACGGGAAAAATGGAAATCCGGAATTGAATCATACCATAAAGGATCGATTGCGGCAACTCCGGCCTTCCCGCATAGGAGAGATGCTTACCCATCCAGCTACGAATGGCGGTTTCGAGACTATTAAGCAAAGGAGCAAACCGACTAGCAAGCAATCGATGTGGGCTTAAGGGGACCCCTAAGTATTTAAACGGGAAGGAGCCCTTGCGAAGCCGGTTTCATGGAGGATAGCATTTTTCCGAGTCACGCCCACACCTCCAAAGAAGATCGGCGACTTAGCCATATTGATGGTCATGCCGGATGTGCGGCCGAAGAGAGATAGTTGGTTGGATAAAATCTCGATGGAAGCTCGTGTCTCCACGGCTAAGGAGGAGCACATCATCGACAAATGCAAGGTGGGTGATGCCTAGGTTCTCACATTTGGGATGATGGGTGAACCGAGAATCCGTGATAGCGACACTGGAGCAAATGAGAGAAATATTCCATACAAAGCACAAATAGATAGGGAGAGAGGGGATCCCCTTGCCTAACACCTACCGCACCCGAAAAGAACCCAAACATGTTCCCATTAACCGAAATGGAATATGAGGTCGACTCAATGCATGCACTTATCCAAGCAACAAATCTGTTCGAAAACCCCAACCGTAAGAGCGACATGTTTGAGAAAACCCCATTGCATCGAGTCAAAGGATTTACGAAAGTCTATTTTCAGCGAGGCATCGTGGAGAAGCTCTCTTGCGACCATACATACGGAGCGGCTCTCGAACTAGGCAAATGTTGTCGGACATTTTCCTACGCGTCAAGGAAGGCGTTCGTATGGGATCGATAATCTCCGAAAGGGCTTGGGAGAGCCTAGAAGCAATAATCTTAGAAATTACCTTGTATATTATATTACAACAAGCAATTGGCCGAAAGTCACTAGGCAAGGTAGCATTGGCCTTTTTAGGGACTAAAGTGAGCACACGGTGGTCGACTTGCTTAAAGAGGCGGTCGGATACAAAAAAATCCTGAATGGTCGCACGTAAATCCCTACCAACTATATCCCACGCTTGTTTGAAGAAAAAGGAAGAATAACCGTCCGGACCGTGGGCCGACTCATTATCTATACTGAACGAGTGCAGCTAATTAGAGCCTCCGATATGGGCTCAAGAAGAAAGGCATGATGGATGGTAGATAACCGAGGCCCAAGCAACTACAACGGTAGGGTCGAGGGGAGCGAGTGTCCAAGGCCGTACCCAAGAGGTTCGATAATAAAAGACCGGCTCCGCTACCACTTCTTGGACCGAGGAGGTAAGACACCCATCTATCCTTTAGAGGGCCGCAATGTAGTTGCCCTTGTGCTTCCGGTTCGGCGGCCCATGGAAAAACCCAGTACCCTCGTCACACTCTTTCAAAAACTTACATTTCAATTTCGACTAAAGAACATCTTTTCGGAGGATTTGAGATGAACCAAAGCTAGACGAAGCCTCTTTTCGACAAGACAAGGTCTAAGTTATCCCTATCATGCGGAAGTGCTAGCCGGATGTCGGCCAATTCCGATTCGGCTCGAGTCACTCTTTAGGAGATGTGGTCGAAATGGAGAATGTTCGGCTTTTTGAGTGGTCGCTTTAATAACTTCAACTTTCGACGGAGAACAAACATGGGAGAGCCATGGAAGCCGCTTGCCCAACCGTCGGTGACAATTTGGGGAAAATCCACATGCGCCATCCACATGTTGAAGAATTTGAAGCTGCGGTACCAATCACTTCGTTGTTGTGCAACTCAACCAATACGGTTGCATGGTCCGAGAAAGCCCCGAGGGGAGCAAAATACACATGAGTTAGTATATTCACGAAGGACCAAAGAGGATTAGTCAAAACACGATCAATCTTTTTCCATACTCTCACCCCACTCCATGTGAAGTGGCTCCCTGTGTATGTGAGGTCGGATAGCCCAAGGTCGGCGTAACAAGCCCCGAAATCGGTCGTTTCATAATTGGACACAATAACTCCCCCGTGTTTATTAGCTTGGGATAGGATTGAATTGAAGTCCCCCAAGAGGATCCAAGGCCCATTCGGTCGCCAATGACAAAGGTCTTCTCACATCTTGCGTCCGGCGATGATGGTATGCAAACCATAAACAAACGTGGCATAGAAAGTAGTCTACCTGCACAAGGTCTTTGAGCTGGACATGCGGACCTTGGATGGATACATTCAATAGATCAACCATCACGAGTGCTTGGGGTTCCGGAAAAGGACTATACGGGCCGTCCCGCAGCCAAAACATTAGAAAGGAAGTGCCAATTCTTGAACCGAAGTTTGTGCATATTGACAAGTTTCACGGAGGTAAGTTTTGTTTCCACAAAGGCACAAATATCTACCCGCTTCTTTTGCATAAGGCGGATTGCCTCATGCTACTTCGGAGGGCTATTAAGCCCCCGACATTCTACCTAGAAATGATCATCTTTGAGCTGGAGAGGCTAAGCTCCTTCGACTCGCATGTCGGCTCGTCCCGACCTCTCTTCGACATCCGAGCTTTGGCTCAATCACGGTAGCGGCAATCCGAGTCCCTTGTCCGATCGGGGAAGCCTACCGGAAGTCCTCAAGGTGGTCGGGTCGGGGCTACTATCGGCTTCTCCGACGGTGGAATGTGCCACGTTGGGAGGGTGAGCCTTGTCACCGATACCTTTTGCCTAAAAGAGTGCTACTCGGCCTTCCTCAATTCCGCTAGAGGACCATTCGGACTTACAATCCGATTGAGGTCCGACTCATCCGCTAGATAGGGAGGTTTGGTAGAGCCTTCATTAGGCCTAAGTCGTCCAACGTGATCACAAGTAGTGTCATTGACCACCCCGGGCCTTTCTCGATGGGGTCATTGGCACTTGGGATAGAATCCGGATCGGTACCATCTTCTTGCAGACACTTGTTTCCCTTTATCCCTTACCCTACGGAAATGCTTTCTCCCGAAACCTGTCTCCCACTTCTTTGAGGCATCGAGCTGCTACAATTAGCATGGGGCCAACTATCTTCGGAGCCTCTACCAAGCCGGCGAGTGGCGGAGGCACCGGCCATGGCGGATGCACCCGACCTACTAGAATACACTTGGCTTAGTCATTCCGCTAACTTCAACATTTCGAGTAGTGGTCGCTCGATCCCCCTCTTGAGTTGGCTGAACTTTACACATAGCGAGTGGAGTGCCCAAGCACACGACGGTGCTTACAATGAGTTGGGAGAGTCTCGTATACTACGCGGTTGTAGGAGCTTGGTCCCATTGGGAAGTAATATACCGATTATCCAAGGCGGGGTATCCATAATGTTCGGCTCCACCGAGCACTCTAGCATAGGATAGACGGTCCATGGAAGCTATTAATCTATCACATTGGATTGGCGTGCCAAGCATACTAGCAATC